TCACTCGTACGCACAACTTAAGAACAAGTCTGTGAGTACGAACAGTTCTTGCATGAGGCCCATTGTCTTGTTTTCATGAATCCAGTCTCGTAGCACACAGAACCCATTCATGCTCTTCTCACCCTCTTTTCTTTTTCATGTTCTTCCCTCAGAGCCAGTTCTGTCAGAGGAAGATGGATTCGTCTCCAAGGTTACCTCCGTCTCCACGGCTGTAACCAGGTAACAAATCTATTTGACCCTGACTTCTTTCCTCGTGCACCTRAACTGAAATCATGCTGCTCATTTTTACTACCAGTTTGTGCAAACAAACTGGATCATAAATAACGAGAGACGGCACAGCGAAAAGCAAAACTGCATTTTATCTCTGAGGTCAGATGAAACTGTTTGTTTGCTGTTTTCTACATAAGGTTGTGAAAAATATGTTTTCCTGCTCACAACAGTTACAAGTGATAAACATTTATAAGAGGATTATGTTCTGTTTTGTTCTAGTAGATGAGATTAAGGTTTTTCTATTTAAATTGACCCATTGCATGAAAAAACCCTCGCTGTTAATGAATCTTCCTTTTTAAATAAAATGTTTTTAATCTCTGATGAATTAGAGTTATCACTTTGAAGCTGTTCATAATTCACAGCAGCATGGAGTTGTTTAAATGTTATGAACAGTCATTATCTTACCTGCTACAGATTGCTCTATGATCTCAGTTTATAGAAATGAAGTTTGAAAGGAAAGACGAGCTAATAACTACTCCRTGCAGTAAGTAAATTACTTTAGTCTTAAAAAAACAACTTCAGTATTTAAACTTACACAGTGGCTTGTGTTAACCATGTTTTAAAAAYCTTTACACCTCCATTAACTTTGTTATGCAGGTATTTACAAAGAGTTATGTGGTTATTTGAAAGAGCAAGCAGCAGCAGCTAGCTGGAGCACTTCCAGTTGAACCTGAGGTACTTCTTGCAGGAACATCGTAATATTACTGCCAGTCATAACCATGTAACGTAAAACTGAAAATTTGAAAAATAACATTCAAATGAGTGTCTGCTACATAAACATCACCCTCTGCTGGAAAGTGAAGCTGATAATCTTCACCTAAAATATGTGAAAACGGTGTTTTAAACAATAAAAACTAAAGTAAAAGAATAAAACCATTACAATAAACTGTTAAATCATTAAGAATACACACGTGGACAAAATTGTTGGTACCCCTCATTTCATGAAAGAAAAACCCACAATGGTCACAGAAATAACTTGAATCTGACAAAAATAATAACAAATAAAAATTCTGTAAAAATGAACAAATGAAAGTCAGACATTGATTTTTCAGCCATGATTCAACAGAATTAAAACAAAAATAGAACTACAGAAACAGACCTGGACAGAAATGACGRGACCCYTAAYTTAATATTTTGTTGCACAACCTTTTGAGTCARTCAGTCAATCAAATGGTTCCTGTAACTGTCAGTGAGACTTCTGCAGCTCTCWGCAGGTATTTTGTTCCACCCCTCAGGAGCAAACTGCTCCAACTCTCAGCCATTGTGAAGTGATTTCTTCTCTCTTCACTGTTTCTTCTCTGTTCRGCCTCTGTTGAAGTTTAAAACTATTGGATCTTATTTACCCAATCATTAGCGTTTGACTGTGATGTATGTAGTGCGCCAGCTCCATCGTGAAGTAAGCTAAGCTAAGAAGCTAACAGGAAATTGGGTGCGCTGTAAACAACCATCCCCTACCTGGACGTGAGAAGTATCGAGCTGAATGAGATGACTGTAAATGATGCTGCAGGCTTTGTGAGACAAATTTAATTTAATTTAGAAGCCTTGTCAACACGGACTGTTTTTTCACTTTCTCTGTCATTGCTAAACTACAGGCAGACTAAAACAGTGMAGAAAATCAACGTAATCGTTAACCACTCCTCCTTCTGTTCTCTGATTGGCCCAGTTGAAATTCTACCGGAGAAATCCTTGTCTTTGGGAGAAACTCCAGACGGAGCAGAGAAGGCAGATTAGAAATGAGCCGAACTGCTTAAGAAGGCTAATGGCCAGGCTACAACTGTGTATGATTTAGACAAGATTTCAACAGTTCAGTTACTCCTCAATGTGTTCCTGATACATCACTTGAACTGACTGGGCTATCAAAGAATCAACACTTTGATTTTAGTATTATTTAAAACAAAGTTTTGGTATCGATGATATGGATATTTCAGTATCAGTTCACTAGTGTCTGCTCTCGTGTGTTTGTTAGTAAAATAATCTCATGAAACACTGAGCAGATTTTAATGAAACGTTTCAAAGAGTTATCTAGTCGATCTAATTGAAAATGGCCGTCGGCGCAAATTAACCTCAGCAAACACAGAATCATCCCAACACACATCAGAGTTGATCCTTCAAAGACTAGAGAACATACAAGTCCATTTTAAATGTTATGATTTACTCTGGAGGTTAAAAACAACAGGCTGCAGTCAAACAAACTCATCAGATGTTTCAGGGCGAGCTCGAAGGTGCGTCTCTTTAACCGGGTTATTTTCTGTTGGATCTGTTTTAAAAGCYGGACCACAAGGATCAGGATCTGGCCTGTGATGGTTCTGGTTCCTGTGGTCAAGCTGCAGCTGCTGTTTGTGAATAAAGTCTTAACAGAGCTGGGTGATGTGTGATGTTGCAGYAGCCCCTCCGTGTTCACACGGGTCCGTCAGGCTCACCGACAGCAGGAGGYGGTAGAGGACGGCCAGCCTGAGAGCAACACCACACCTGTCAGGTACGAGCACACGCAGCTGTTTCAGCTCAACTTTTTATTCTTTTAGCCAGTTACAGTTCAAGACTCAGCAGCAGGACACACCTCACCTCTCAGTCCAGTTCTTACCTCTTTACATCCAACAACGTTTTGTTGTTTAAAATCCTGCTCCTCTATAAAGCCCCGAGGCTCCTGCACACTCACACTAGTCTAAAGTTGTTTTTGCCTGACTCACGTGGTTCAGTATCCTGCCTTTTATTGGTTTATCTTTCTTGGTGCATTTCTTCTCGCTTCTTTTTGTTTTGACCTCTTTCTTTCTGCTCCATTAAGGATGTTGTAACAAAACTTCACCTAAAACTGGCTGTTCTGTCACTATTTGCTGAAAAGATTCAGTTTAATCCATTGAAGTTTCTATAAATAAAAGATGAGGGAAGCTGCGGTGCATCAGACGTCTATCAGCTGTGAGTTCAGGTTGTTGTGATGATTTAGGTACACAGTCGTGAAACATTTGTGTCTAGTTGTGTTGTAATAGATCTTTTAACAAGATCTTGTTGTGAGCTGACAAGATTAACTTGTCACTGTTATCACTTACAGCTACAGTGTCTACTTGAATTACTTTGAAGTTTTTGTGTTTTCTTCTCATTTTAAAGTGATACGTTAGTAGCTGCTGGAATTCACATTTTTTATTTTTTTATTTTTTAGCTGTTTAGTTAACTTTAATAGTGAAATGTTTTATAATGGAAAGTAGGTGAAACAAAAGTAGTTTAAAAAAGAAAAGCTTAAATTAATGTAGGCTTCCTATTAAAAAATAAAAACAGGAAACTTTGTTTTGACTGATACAAAATAGATTTTGAGAAGTTTTATTTTTATTTCTTTCTTTGACATTAAATCAGATTTCTTTTCATAAGAAAATCGAAAAGAATAGATTTTTTCCTTAGGTTAAATCCTGTTTCCTTCTCTAAACACCAGCATCATTATATTTTGTTGATGTTGTTAATAAGCTGCACTTAGTGCTRCTTGACCTGCAGATGTGTGAAAAGCTTTTGTCATCAGGATGTGCTTTAGCACACAGAAATAAAACTCATGAGAGCAGTCTGAGTGAGACCTATCAGACTCTAAAGGTTTGTGCTCAGTGATTTTCTCTTAGATGGTAGTTAAATTCTGTTTGACAAAGTCAGCTGTGTTGCAGAGTGACTTCCATATTTTATTAGGATTTACTATAATTACCAGTGTTGTATAAAGTACCACAAAGTGATTCTTGAGTAAAAGTACAAGTATGTTACCTAAAAATTACTTTGGTAAAAGTAAAAGTCTCCTTTAGGAATATTACTTGAGTAAAAGTCTTAAAGTATCTGATATTTTTTGTACTTAAGTATTAAAAGTAAAAGTATTGATTTAAAACGAGCAGTTAGATTTTCTGTATTGACATTTATTAGGAGGTGACCTCCCCAAAAAAAAAACTGCAGAAATGACTATATTGTATTAAAATAATTAATTTATGTACAGCAACAAAGTATTTGTACTTAGTTACTTTACAACTCTGATAATTACTTCTGCATACTTTGTGTGATTTGAGTCAATTGATGTATTGTAGCACCCATTTCTTGACTAAAATTGGTGCTACAATTGTTGATTGTTGTAACTTTTATACATAAATATATTTAACATTATCTCCAAGTTGTTTATGGTAAATAACTGTTTTGCTGCAAAGTGCTGCAGTAGTAATGACATCCTCCTTGAAACACTTTTCAGTCAACTTCAAAATATTGGACTTTCTTAACAAATATTTTCTACATAGAAAGACATTTCAGTTTCCTCAGTGACTTCAAAAAATTGGACTTTCTTTACAAATAGTGACATCAAAAAATTGTATTCTTTTGAATCTACTTCAGCATATTCACTTCACATTTTGTCTTTGGCTACTTTAAGCTACTGATTTGATGCTTTTAGTGTTTAGGTTTAATGTTTTGTTTTGCTGTTCAGCTTTTTGTAGTATTTATATTCTAGAAGAGAGGGTTAGGGTTAAGTTAGGTTATGTTAGTGTTTTGCTCTTTATAGCTGTTTGGTAGTATTCAGCTTATTTTAGCTTAGCTACTGTCGGCTACTTTTAGCTTTTACAACTCAGTTTCAGCTTCTTCAGCAAAGTCATTCAGCCCTCAGCAGTCACATGGGGTTTCTCTAATTAAACACAAATTCTGACRAACCAGCAGAGAAAATGAACTGTAGGCATTTGCTGTGTAGAAAATTAGTGTATCTTTTTGTTATTTTTATCCATAACAAAAATGAATGTTGTTTGAATTCTAGTTGATGTTGAATGTTTAATTTTATTCTAAAGATAACTCACGGCAACATTTAATTATTTTTTCAGAGGGAAACTCTTTGCCTCCCCACTCAGGAGCTCCCAAGCATCTTCGCTGGAATGCAACAGCCTCCCAAACAGCCAGTCAGAGGTTTCACAACACGATGTGCTGCAGGGGCCGCAGGACAGCAGCAAAGATCCCTTCATACCTGGTGACCCACTGGAGGAGAGGAGAGGACCACCTGCAGCTCCAGACCTGAACTCTCCAAACAGCACACAGGTTTCCCACCGGAAGACCAACAAGGACACCACTTCTACTCCATCCAGCAAGGTTTGTTCAGGCCAGTAATGAGATTTATCTGAAATTTGTTTGTCAACATGGTAATGTCATGATTTAGCCTCTTCTCTTGGAACAGCTTGAAAAGTTTTTCAAAGCTTGTTAAAGTTGAGCAAAGTTTATTGTTTTAATTTAAACTATTGTAATAAGATGAATATAAATCAAATTGTATAATTAATAATCAGAATTTGTGGATGGATGAATGCTTTGCAGGAAATCACATGTTCCCTGTTAGGTCACTTAAACAGCATCAACAAGATATCAGTACAAAACTAGAGAATTTGTTCTTCCTGTGTTTGTTTGTCAGCAGCAGACTAGACGTTAGTTGGAAAATATGGAAATTACAAAATTTAGAGCAGCCTTACAAAGTGCTTTACAGAGATAAGATTGAAATCTTTATAAGTGATGGACATGTGTCAAGAATAATCATATATGTATATCAGTGCTGCAGTAACAAATTGTTGGTAATGTTTTTCTCATAATGTGCTGCAGTGTGAAATATGTCCTGACGTTTCTCTTAATGTGTGTCGCAGCTTCAGCAGCGGACCATCTCCCAGCAGACCAGCTTGGACGTGCCAGGCCTGCGCTCACCTCCTGGTCAGGTATGAGGAGTTTTTCCCAAATGGATCTAAAGAATTTCAGCCTATATCTGCATCTGTTGTGCTGTTTACACTTTATGATTCTGTCCTAAAGGGAGAACCAGAWTCACCTTTGTTTAAAAAACACGCTGCAGTGACCCACCGCAGACATGTCCGCACYATCCAGGAGGTACGAACCACCATCACACGCATCATCACAGATGTGTACTATGAAGAYGGCAAAGAGGTGGACCGCAGAGTGAGTGAGGTAGGTGTCCTCTGTCAACTAAAATCAGACTGTTAAATTGTTAAATAAGTCTGCAATTTAATTAGCATTAGTTAAATCTTAGCATCTCTCACTTAAACAGCTAATGTGTCGAGTCATAAAACTAGTTTCAGATACCTGGAATGTAACTGTGGGGAAGCAGATTATATGTTAAAGCAGCCTGCCATACATGTGAGCTTCCTCATGCAGCTGAAATGATCTGCTGGGCTCCCAGAGCAGAACCTGACTGCAAGATGGATCTAAGAGCAAGCAACCATCCACATTTCATCTCCACAATTAGCAAAAGAAAAAAGGTTTTTCTGACTCTGTTTGGAAAAATAAAAATAAATAAATAAATAAATAAACGGTTGCTTTGCTATGCGCGTGTGTGTCTGCATGTTTTTGCTTCATGGTGGGGACAATTTTTGACCACTGTCCTGGTACACAGCCTGGTGAGGTTAGATTTTGGGTCAGGTACAGTATGTACCAGTGGTTAGGCTGTAGAATGACCGGTGAATGAATAGAAGTCAGTGCAAAGTCCCCATGAGGATAGAATAACAAACGTGCATGTGTGCGTGTGCACATGGGGTGTAGAGCAGAGAGCTGTGTTGATACTGCTAGACTGAGTTATTACAGGAAATGGAGACTTTTTGTTTCGGCGGGCAACCACTCATCGAACGGATGGTCACACCAATGCAACCGGAAATATATATTAGTCGTACTATAAAAAAAAATCAGGTCACACTCTAGAGYCCTGTTGTTGTATGGACAGACGCTCCCATCTCTTCAGGATCATGTTTGATCTCCTCAGTGTTTCTCTGATTAATGTCTTCATTACAACCCTCTATTGACAGGTTTGTTTTGGTGAAATTATCTTTCCATTTCCTAATAATGGACTTAATGTAGTTTTGTGTAATGTTTAGTTTTTTGTTTATAATCCTACACTAATCTGGACTTCACATTTTTGTCTCTGACTTGTGTGGAGAGTTCCTCTGTCTTGTTTGATCCTAACTTTTACTATGACAAAGTGTTGAACTGCTGTTGGTTCTGGGTCTATCAGAACAAGTTTAGATCATTGCATGTGATGAGATGAATCTTATTTAATTAAAAACACTATATTGCAAAAAGTACCGTATTTGCTCACCCATCCAAATGATCAGGTGTTCCAATCACTTCCATGGCCACAGGTGTATAAAATTGCTCACCTAAGCATGCAGACTGATTTAACAAACGTTTGTGAAAGAATGGATCACTCTCAGGAGCTCAGTGAATTCTAGCATGGAACTGTCATTGGTGAAATTTCCTCACTCCTAAATATTCCACTAGAAGAGTTTGGGAACAACAGCAACTCAGCCATGAAGTGGTAGTTCACGTAAACTGACAGAGCGGGGTCAGCGGATGCTGAAGCGCATAGATGTGAAGATGTCTTTACAGACATCTTCACATTTCACTGAAACAAACCATAGTTCCATCACGCTTCAAAGCATCCATCCTCAAACCAGTGCCTAAGAAACCTGTTCATTCCTGCTTTAATCACCATCGCCCTGTGGCACTGACACCAATCATCACAAAGTGCTTCGAACGACTTGTCACATCACACATCAAATCCATCCTGATCCCCCCCACCCCACCCCACCTTGGACCCCCTCCAGTTTGCATACCGACCTAAGCGATCCACAGAGGATGCAACCAGCTCTGCCCTCCATCCAGCCCTTACCCATGCAGTGGTGTAAAGCACGCCGTCACTGGACTCTACAGCAGTGGAGGCGTGTTCTCTGGACTGACAATCATTCTCTGGACTGACAAATCATTCTCTGGACTGACGAATCGTTCTCTGGACTGACGAATCGTTCTCTGGACTGACGAATCGTTCTCTGGACTGACGAATCGTTCTCTGGACTG